CTGGGATTAAATCATATTTTAAGTTGCATATGCATAGCTAGTATCACAGATATAATTTAAAGTCAGCAGGCAAGGAAAACTATTTTCCATTTCTCTCATTCTTCTATAATGAGGAAATTTTATTTCTGACTTCAAGTCTAATCACATCTTATTCAAAGAGATTTAATGCTTACAAGATTAAAGTTTAATAACGGGGGAAAACTTGATGTAAGTAAAAAACTAGCAGAATACCTCTAAAAATCCTTTTACCATAAATCCAACACTCTAATTTCAAGAATATCCTAGTTCTGCCCAACAAAAATACACCAAATCTAATTAATGATTATAAATGGTATTGTTTTACATGAAGTATTCATAAAACATGTAGTTATAGTGATTCATGTATTCAAAAACAACTATTAAGCATCTGACTGCCAAACATAGAACAAGTCTTGCTTTCACTGAGCTTTCAGTCTAGTAGATGAGACAGACTATAAACAAGTGAATAAGCAAAGAATTATAAAATAATAGAAGGAAATACTCAATGCTGAGAAAAGGACTTTGGGGATAAATCTACTCAGATTGGCCAGAAAGCTTAACAGTTAAGCTGAGATATGGGAAGACAGAAGGGATCAGCCCTTAGGAGAACTCAAAAACAATACAAGGGGAACTAATCCAGGGTCAGTAAATGCAAGCAAGTCTCAAAGAGTAAGGAGGAGTTTGGATTTTATTTGAAATGTAACAGGCATGCACTGAAACATTGTCAACAGAGTTTAAACACAAAGTGGTAAGAGCGAATTTATTTCCTTAAAAGGTCACTTTGGTGCCTCGGAAAGAATTGAGTAGATGGAGGCAGACAATAGAGGAATCAGGGAACCTAGACTACTGATGAGCGTGAGTAAAGTGGTTCAGTGAATTGGAGGAAGTAGAGAGATTGAGAATATATTCTGGAGATGGCATTGTCCAAGTTGATTGTCAGAGAAAGAGGAAAATAAAACAATAATTCCCTGATTTTTGAAATGAGAACTGGTGAAAAGATTTGAAGAGGAAAATCATCCATTTTATTTCGGACATGGTAACATCTGTGATGAAGTGAAATTATCTGGTATGGCTCGTCTATCCAGAGTCTTCACAACTCATACTAACTGACTGGTGGAAGCATGCTAATCCAGTGCAAAGAACGCCCAACTCATGGACTAGTAACGTTTGCCATTGCACTGAGTACAAAAGTAAGCCCTCTCAGGAGCAGGAACAGAGTACTATTTCTGACTATCAAGAAAGAAGAGCCACAGAGAGCCCATGTAAAACCCCTGCCTGAGTGGCAGAAGCGGCAGAGGCCCCGGAGACCACAGTCCCGAGACCATGAGAAGCAGAGAGGAGCTGTGAGAGTACCATGAAGAGAGCAGAGAAGAAGCACCAGACTCGGAAGCAGAGTAGCAGGCTTCCTGTCCCATGGACTGAGGAAAGCTGAGGGTCGTCAAGCAGGAGGCTGGCTTACACAGCAGGGTCCCTTTGGTCATGTAGTATCACTGAAGGAGCTTTGTAATACTTGCCCAAGCAGGACAGAGGGCCACAAGGCCACATGGCTGAGAGGCTGAGGGCCAGAAAGAGACTTGAAAGCCAGCCATTGATTCTGCTTACTTGATTGTGTTTCTGCAGAAATTTAGAAAAAGCTGGCAATAACAGTAAAGCCATGTAACGAGCCTTAAGGATAATTGAGATCATTAAGGTCCCTGAAAATGGCTACATTAATAAAAAAAATTTTTAAAAAGAAAGAGACTTGACATCTGGCATGACTGAGAAGAGGCACTGCTGTGGACAAAAGGATTGTATCCTTAGTGTTTACCATCCTAATGCGTAGTAAAGCCTCAAAACCGTGCAAGCTTTATGTGGCCACTGCCACCGATTACCCAAGCCAGCAGAGAAATAAAGTGC